GCTCCCAATGTGTGGCTTCATAGCTCAGTTGGTAGAGCATCGCACCGGTATCGCGGAGGTCACGGGTTCGAATCCCGTTGAAGCCCTGATTTTTTCAGTAAAATTTACTGCGATGATCATTCTTCACTTTCATCTACAACCGCTGTTCATATATGAATTATTTCATATAAACTTCACATCCTGTCCGGATTATGGTAGCCCGCTGGAAACGTCCAGTGTGTTGTGAGTTACTCTGAAGGACTGGAAACTTACAGAAAATGGAAACACCATTGACTGAACGCGATATTTTCACGTCACTATGAAAGTGAGCATGGCAACAAAAGAATGTAGCTCAGGGACTGCACAGGGAAACTAGAGATCTCGTTCCCTGAAGTCACGATCCTATTGGTCAGTGCAAAGAATGTATGAACCAGCGTTAATCAAAGCGGTCAAACTCTGTAGGCATGTTCAGAAACCATTTATTATCGAACTTGGACGCATAAGCACAATAAAAACGAGGCGCTGGGTCACCGCTGACCGAAAACGCACTGGCTTGTTATTCTCGGCTGCAGTTCTCCCGTATATAGAGATATGAATAAGACTGTATCGTTTTCGTTTATTCTTGCTTCACATCCGCTTATACGTACTTTTCCGTTTGTAACTAATGATGAACAAGCATCCTTTTTGGCGGCATAAATGCCGAGCAGAGGCCTAAGTAAAGATAAAACCTTGTATATTGACGTGTTGTTACTTCATTGCTTGCAGCACTATGCAGTAGAACGTTCAACGAACATTGCCTGATATTTTTGCAAACTAAAACGTCAGCTCACAGACTGAGAATAATCTTAGGGCTGCTGGGATTGAACGTGGAAGAGCTCCATGGAAACTTGACACAATTACAGGTGCGTGACGATTTCGCGTTACATTTACTCAACTTTGGCACAATTACAGCGCTGTTCCGTGACATTTTTGCTAGCGTTCCTTTGTAGTTGTTTCAGAGGCATTATTTTCCTCTCACATTACCTCTGAGCTGCATATAACACGAGCGGAGAAACTGCCAGCGGGAATAGGGAGAAGCTTACTTCTCATGTCGTTTATCCCATTTTCTTGACCTTAGCGTGTTTTTCCATCGCGTGTACGCGTGCCTTTAGGCACACATGGCTAGTCACAAAGGTGTTTTTCTCAGTTTACTTAAGGTCGGTAGTTCCTCCAAATCAAGGGCTGCTGTTTTGCCAGACAAGCGGGCAGCTAGCGTTTTAGAGGGAAAGAGTTTTTGTGCATCTGAAAAGTAGGAATTGACCAAGAGACCATTTGTCCTTGTGTTCGTGTTGAAATGCTTAAAAACTGATTAAACGACTGGTATAGTTTACCTCTTCAATGGCCTCTGACCCTTTTTCTTTTCCTTGTTATTCTTTCAGAGGCTGGAAGCTTTAAGGAAATTCAAGGCCGGCGAAGTTGACATTCTTGTAGCTACGGACTTAGCATCTAGAGGACTGGATATTTTAGGAGTGAAAACGGTAAGTGTAAGCTAGGAGACCAGACGCCATGAACCCGTAGATGGACATCGTTAAAACCGTGTTCACTTTTGGCCCTCCCCCACTCCTCCCACCTCAAAATCCTATTTATCAAGGTGTATTTGGAGAACAAGAGTGTTACTGAGTTGGTCAGTGACACTGAAGCTACTCGGAAGAGCTTCCGTCTTGTGTAACAACGCTGGCATAGTTACTGTTTACTCAACCTTAGGATAGTGCAGAAGCAAACAATTGCCAAATACTTGTGAAATGTTCGTGGCTAGTCTGACGCGGCGTTTCGTCTCGTGCACTTAGGATAGTGCGCTTGTGATTAGTGAATTGCATGGCTAGGAGGCGGTATGGCCAAATGGTTAAGGGTGCTGGATTTGAAATCTGGAGGATCCTCCACCCTATCGCTTTTTGACTTTGTTCTCGGTAGTCCCAAGTTCAACTCCTCAACTGCGTTGTGTAAATAGCCAACTGGCCAACCTCCCACCAGTTGGGATTCGTAGGCTCTATTTGTAATGAATTCTACAGTGCTAAATACATTTGACACTTAAATAGAGTTTTGTAATTGTTTTTATTGCTCGATTTAACAGGTCATTAACGCCAACCTTCCGCCGACGCTGAAGCAGTATATTCACAGAGTTGGAAGAACAGCTCGGGCGGGACGCAGTGGAAGGTATGTGGTTAATTAATGTCTCTACCGTGCACTGCAAGCTGACATGTAATACTTAACGTTTTAAATGACTGTCCCTATCACTGCAAGCCAAGGGGAAATCGGTGGTGTTCGTTTCCTGGTGTGACCGTGAATGGCCTGCAGGAAGACTCTCTTGTGTGGGTCCCGTAACCCGCGGTTTCCTCGCTCGCGTGAAACGCAAACAAGATTTCTGATCGTAGGCTAGTACAACGTAGATAGAAGTGCCAGCGGTGTTTACGATTTTTCTTATCCGATCGATATTGTCTGTGGATCCAATCAGCTACGTCTCGTGGATTCCAGCTACTTTGAGAATGTCATGACGAAATTAACCATTAATTGGAGGCCAGACACAAAAAACTTTTGTCAATACAGTATCGTTCAAACTCGTGCATTGTTCTCCCGAAATTTCGCTGATATTTCGTCGTAATTTCGACGCGAATGACCATGACGCCTCGCTGAAATGTAGGTGGAATATCAGCGCTTCAAACAAAATACCTGCAATATTTCTATGACTTAAACGAAATCTCATACGACAGTTTTCAAACACGATAACTCAGTCTAGCGATTTTTCGCAACTGGGAATCGAATCATGGTGGAATTTCGCGAGGGTGAAACGGCACGTAGTGAATTTTCCTGGCCTTGTATCAGTATTTTAAAACACACGTCCACACATTTAGCGCAATTGTTAAATGTTATGTTGGTCATGTTCTAGTCTCTCTTATCTCAGTATTGTGGCAGGCAAAGCATCATTAGGGAGAAGTCCTTTGAAAGAGAAAAACACTTTTGAGTAAACCTTTGTGTTGTCGCTGTAAACTGTGTTGTTTCTTATTTTTGCTCATTTCCTAGCTGTTTATGCCCATTTCCCTTTTGCAGATCTGTTTCGCTAGTCGGAGAAAAAGAAAGAAAACTGCTGAAGGAAATTGTAAAATTAGCCAAGACACCAGTGAAAAGTAGAATAGTCCCTACAGGTGAGAAAAGAAGTTGATTTTTGTTGTTGTTGTTATTCGTTTTCTCCAGTTAACTTGCTCATATGTTGCTGTGGGCTTCATGTCCTACACACTCAAAAATGCTGTCTCTAAAATTATTGACTGTTTTGGCATGTTTAACTTTTGAGTTAAAGTCGTCCCTAGACCTGATCTGCAAGTTTTTAATTTTTTTATCCCCAGAGGTGATTGAGAAATATAAAAGCAAGATTCAAGGACTCGAGAAGGACTTGAAGGAAATTTTGAAACAAGAAAGCGAAGAAAAAGAGGTAGGCATGTAGTGATTAGGCGTGGCTGGCCTCTCACAAGGATAACAAGCACTTAGTTGATCTTGTGACCAGATCTCTTGTGGTTCTGTCCATAAGGGATCTGGGGACCAGAGTTTCACCTAGTCTCGAATACGTGTACAGCGGATTCTCGCCGTAGCCTCCAGCATTCAAGAGAAATAAAAACATGTCCGTGAAGGGGGAGCCCGCAAAACAGCAAACTCAAATGACAAAACTGATATTGACGTCGTCATACTATAAACCGGCTTGTCGGTTCTCGCAGTGTCCTTTGTTTATGTGCCATGGGACCGCCAACTAACTATACTAACTACACGAAATGATCTCATCTGTTAACGTATCTGTTAAGTGAACTGCCATAATTGCTTAGATGCCAAAGATCCGAATAAACCGATCAGGGTGGAGAATGTTTATTATAGTAACATGAATTCGACTTGGTCTCTGAGTCACTCATGATCCATTGTTTGTTTAGCTAGGCCTGCTTCCTTCGGCTTTGAGATTTTTCTCTGGAGAAAAAGATCGAGGCCAGTGTAAACGGCGATCAACGAGACGCGTCTCGAGAAATACGAGACAAGTCGCGTGAGGCGCGAGACGCCTCTCGAGTGAAACGCGGCGACACTTGAGAGAAACGAGACGCATCTCTAGAGAAAGGAGACGAGCCTCGAGAGAAGGGATAACTTCTTTTTGAGCGGTTCTGTGGCTCAAAAATTTTAAAAAAATGACATTCGCCAACAATGACATTCGCCAACATTGAATTTTAGATTCCTTACCCAGTTTGTTTATTCATTTTAATTGACGTATTTTTATCTTTTTTATTCCTTTTGTAACTGAAAAGCCCCTTTGGGGAGTTGCAAATAAAGTNCCCCCTTCAGCTGAGAATCTCAGAGATGGAGATGAATAAAGCACGGAACCTTATTGAACACGAAGAAGAGATCTTCTCCAGGCCTCCGCGGGTGTGGTTTCAAAGCAAGGCAGACCTAAAAAGAAAGTCTGGTAAACGATCTATTAGATCAGCTGAATTTGAAGTGTTGGACAGTTTTAACTTGCGCAAATCAGTTGTGACTCAGAAGTGAAATTTCACTTTCCTTGTATATGTGTTTTTGTCCGCAGACAAAGCAGCAAACGGACCAGCCAGCAAGAAATCCAAAAATGAAAACAAGAAAGGAAGGATTGCAGTCAGCGCAAATGAAAACGTGAGGCTGCCGTTTTCAGAGTTCCGTTGTTTTCCTTTTTACTTTACGATACGGAGATGTGACAATTGCTTCTAACTTAAAATATCCTCCGGTTTTAGTAAAAACAGCATATCAACGAACCACGTTAGGTGTATACCCTATTTCCATGCAAGTCTCTTTAACAATGTGGTGCTGTCATTATTAAATGATTTAATGGTTAACGCTTTGGACTTTAGTTCATTAAGTCCACTGTAAGCTCAAAACACTTCACTCTCATATCGCCTCTTTCTCTCCTCACCCATGAGTAAAATTAAGTGTTGCTGAAGGTTAGTATGTGGTGTACTAGCAACCCATCCAAAGAAAGTAATATTGTACTCAACCCCCAGCCTTAAAAGGTAGCCTGCGGAACAATCGTTCCCGTACGGACCATGTAGGGCTTTCTGCATTTTTGCCGCGCGAAAATTGAAGGCGGGGACAAAAACTGCAGTTATTGCGCGCCCAAAATGCGGCAACTCTTGTTACGGAGGCTTCTTGAAAACAATTTTTTTTCACATCCTATCCACTAGACGGCACGACCTACCCTGCCCTGCTCTCGTTTAACGCCGGAAATGGTAACCCCAAACTGTTATCAATGCGTTAACGTCTGTTTACAGAGGGTACTATATGATATTTGTTTTTAGGAAGAGGATAAGAAGAAGCGAAAAGAGATGGAATTCATCGCACGAGAGGTCAAGCGGTCGAAAAAAAAGAAACGCTTGCACGCCTTCCCGCCGGACAAACCCGATTTCAACTCTAAAGGTTTGTATATCTGAAAATTTTCTTTCCTATTCATGAAATACCACATCTTGCGCGCCAGAAATTGTGATTTTGTGGTAATTCTGGTTCTTGTCAAAGGTGTTGTTGTAAATATTAACTTTTTTTCCTCGCCTCAGCAGGAAAATCATCAAAAACGAAGAGTGCTGCCGCTGCTGGTGGTTCACGGCTCAAGGCATTTGACAAAGAACTCACGGATACAAGCAAAAAAGCGCTAAAAACCTTCAGACAGAGGTTTGTTACTTTTAAGAGAATTCTGCCATTGCATTGGCCTTGTCATAGACGAATGGTTAATAGTTTAGTCTTCTAGGCTAGTCACGCGCTGTTCAAAACATGGACGTTTTGTGTATGACAGGTAAATACCCATGTTTAAAGCTCTTTATTTTTTACTGTATTATTTAGCTCAAGACCCGATGATTCAAAGAAGTTCAAGAAAAGTCCAGGAAGGTTTAAATCAAAGAAAAGGTTTGTTTCACCTGGACGTTCACTTTACAAAGAGCGAACCAAGTCGTAGGATACATAGTGTCGTAAGTGGTCCTATGTGACGAGAAGGGGTTTATGTCCACTCAGTGTCGAAAGATAATGGGAAATCCCTGTTTCCATTCATGAAATTTGACTTGTGATACACGTCAATGCACACGCTTCGAGAACTGTACTTCTCCGAACTCATTGAAGCCAAATTTAGCCCGTTTGACACTATAACAGGATACGACTGGAACTCAACTATACAACCTACAAATTAATTTTTGTTCCTTTACGACTTGCCATCAGCCAGTCATTCCCATTTGGTTTCCAAGTCTCTGGTAAGAAAGCAAAGGTCTTGAAAGCCTTTACAGCAACCTAACCTGCATAGCTGGCGGGATTAGCTTTATTTTGGTGACATCATTGCTTTTCAGGAATGGATTGGCTAGAAATTCATGCCTTACTTACTCGTCTCTGTCCTTTTGTTGTAGATACAAGAGAAGATGACCCGAGTACAGTTGCAAGAGCCGAAACTGAATAAATTTTTATTTTAAACTGAATCCATTGAATCACCGGAGAGAAATTAAAGATCATGAGTTCCTCGCTGTCAAGGTGTAGAGCCACAGAGTACGTCTTGTTATTTCTCAATTCAGTTCCCATGGCTTGTTGCCCTGAGTATTGGACCCTTTATTTGTAATGGTTTTGGAAGAAAGCCTATCTGAAAATCGCCGTGTTTCAATAAATTGAACTTTTCGAAAGAAAGTAGGAATTATTGTACGGATTGATTTTTGTCAACCAATCAGGTATACTCACTAAAACCGCGCGTCTTTTTCCCGCGCTTTTGACTGAGTGCTGCATGATTGGAGTTGTTGTGAACGTGGGCGCTCCTTATGACTAACGGTCGCTGGAGAGTGGTTTCTACGTCACGGTTTGCGCCTTTTGAAAAGTTTAGCCTAAAATTTTTCAAGTTTGTTTTGTGTAATCCGTGTTAATCTCCTCCATCCGTGTTCCTTTTTGGGTTATTATTATCTCTTTGGTGTTTTACTATCCTAGTAAACTACTATTTTCAGGATTCCTTCAATTCAAAGGTAATTTTGAACATAGCCAAAATAATCCAAACTACCGTGACTGAGCTCCTTTAAGTATATGGCTGGGGAGTGGTGTCGATGTGTTCGCAACGATCGCTGTACGCTTTTGGGAGCGATCATGTAGCGAACCGGTCATTATGTTACCCGCTCAATCCATATCTGAACGAAACAATATCTAGTGATGCTTGGTTTCCTCGATCTGCTCTGTTGTATTTCACTTGGAATTTGTTTCCCTAACCAAAGAGAACACCGACCAATAACTCTTAAAGCTGAAGTTGAGCTAAAAGAAACACACTAAGAAAATAAAGAAGCAATTGTTATGCGCCTGGTCGTCACTTTAATGCCGTCAGTATTACGAAACGTTACGTTTCAAACCATTTAACTTTATTTTATTTTTTCCATTGAAACATGAACAGATTGTTTTAAGGCTGAGAAGGGAATGAATGCTCTTTAAAAATGTTGTGAGTTGAGTTTGAATTCAGACTGTTCGCAACCTATTTTTCAACGAAAGAAAAAGCGAGCGAAACGAGCTCGAGGCACGCGGAGGCGAGGGCGGGAAGGCGAGCAAAGCCAACCAAACTTCCCCATCCCCTTCCCCGTCAAATCTCCCGTCTTGCACTGGCGAATAGTTCTCTCGCGATTCTATCCGCGCGTTCAACGATCAAACAAAAAATAGAGGGCTGTGAACAGTCTACGTGTGAATCATAACACTCGTTGCACAACCCAGCGTCGCGTTCAAGTGTAGAGCGTAGTTATTATTTCTCTTACCGCGGAAGAATTAAGTTTTAATATTGTCCTTATTTATTACTGTTTATTCTTCTAATATTCGTTTTATCGTTATGCCAACGCCAGTTTCTTTAGTCATGGAGGTTTAAAAGTCATTAATTGTCTAGAGCAGCGCGCTTTACAGAAACTCGAAGGTTGAAATTTTCTGAAATTTAATTTACTCTTTCATCACAGTAGCCAACAACAGCCCGTACTTCCTTCAGTGGAACCGCTGTCGTCCTGTTTCTTCGCTTGTTCTTGTTGATCTGCTGCTTTCTCGGCTCTTCTCTCGGCTTCACGCCCTTCCACGTCAACCTTGATATCTTGAACTTTTCGAGACTGCGCCACCGAGAAAAACAGGGCCAATTCTTCCTTCTGTACCGCATCATCGCCGTCACGGTCAGCGAACTTCATAATCATGTCACGCTGGTCATTGATGGTTTTCATGTCCGGTGGTTCCTGGAAATTATCGGAGAAGCTATGTCACGCAAACAGGCAAAACAAACAAACAAACAAACAGAAAAACAAACAAACAATCAGGCACAGACAGAAAAGGGAAAACTGCAAAACCAATCCTCAATTGTCCGGTTTTCACTGAACAATCACAATATGTCACATATTCAGTTAAGAAGGCTGCATGTTCACCAACATAGCCGCAGATTTTCCAAGGTGGTCATAGCAACGCGCTGTTACTTTTACTTCCCGACGACTGTAATATAAACAATCAGATTTACAGATTTTCGGCCAAAAGTGGCCGTCGACACCATCATCGTCATCCTCACGGAACCTTTTTTCCGTACCTTTTTGTAGGCAAGTATAAAGCAGAATAAAGGTGTCTGATTAGAGGAACGCGTATAAGAAGGAATTCGTTGCTAAGAAACCGTTTACACTACAGTATTTGAAAGGAAGCGGTATTTCCACCTTGTTGTTCTTGATGTACAAGTCTCGTATAAGAGCATCTAGCTCAGCACCGCCAATGCTTCCATTGTGATCCTGTGTGGTAGGCAGAGAGAAAAAAAAAATCGAAAATCAATGGCTGATTTCCGAGTTGCCTCTTGCCTCTTTCTCCGGAACGATTCCTCGTGCAAAACGTTTCTCATGAAAATGAGTTTGATTTGCATGAAATTAAACTTATAGAACTTATAGATGAACAGCATTTTCATAACAATCGTTTAGCACCAAGACTCGTTTTGATGCTGAGGCAAAGGACAACTCTGAAGGGCATTGGCCTATTTAAGGTTTGATTGAGAATATCCTCACGGAGGAGCTAGCCTGAAGAATAATAAACCATGGAAATTAATAGAGAAAAATAAACAAAACCAGCTAAAATTAACAAGCAAGTATTAAAAAGAGGGACGTTTAAGATTCGATAAGATGCATATTATACATCTCCATTGTAACTGCCAGTGTAATAACATAAATTCACCTACCTGATCGTAGTGGTACCAGATTTTCTCAAATTCTTGTCTTGTCAGGTTTTGCCTGATCTGTTTGTATAAAGTATAATTGTGTTTGAGAGGCAATATTGACTAGGTTGCATTGCTGGGATCATGAAAGCAGAGATTATTTTACCTGGAACTTTGAGAGGAAATTCTCTTCAACGGGCAGAAGTCTGTTGATGAAGAAAATAGCAAACTGTCACTAACAATAAATAAAGACAGGTCTCAACAAGACAGTGGAAAACCTCCGCTTTATAATGCTTGGCCCAACAGACACTAAAGTGGTTTACCCGCGACTTTATACGTAGCTTAGATAATGGCTTTAGTGCTGTGTTTGTTGAGCTTGGTTAAACACCTTGTTCTAAAGAACCATTTGTGCGAATTCTATCGTTGAACAAATTAAAATCCCCTGCTTACTAATCGTTGCCCATTACGCTAAAATAACCATTCCATCACAACACTCCTTCAGAAAGTGCTCATCAAACCCGGAAAGGCCACAAATGCTTTCAAAATAAAAGAAGTGACGATATTGAACTAAGTCGCTTCACTCTCGTCCCCAGAGACTTCTGTCCCTCTTAGCCTGCGGGGCCTTGGCTTCGAGGCTAAATGGGGCCAGGTGGCTCGATCTGGGGACGAGACTGGCTTTGTTTGTATCCTGGTATCAGTTGAAAAGATTTGTTCCCTGTTCTACGTTCGTGTTGATGTGACCATAAACAAATAAAAAAGAACGACCAGCCAACTGCACAGTGACACTAACTTAGCCATTTCTGATAACTCTATCTCTCCGTCTTTGTTCTTGTCAAATGATTCCAGCTGAAACAAGTAAAACAATTTTGGAATCTTGTCAAAACACAGTTTTGTTTCTAGTGATACATGTACATATTCTAAACACGCAAAAGGGTTCATACTTTTCAGTCGTTTGACGAATTTTTGACCCCCCTCCTTTTCCCCATGTCATGGTAAAAAGCCCAATGTACCCAAACTCCCTGTTCAGTGCGTTCTAGTTTCTCAGAAACAACACTGTAAGATGGGAGTAAGAGAGAGAACGAATGCAACCAAAACAAAAGGAAAACCAAAAGAAAAGAAATCGTAGGCAACAAGCTGCCAGTGATTGTAGCACCAATTTTATCACTGGCAGATTAAAAGTACTGTTTCTGAGAAATCTTCCCTGAACCACACTGTTGACCCCTTTGACTTTTGTCAACCAATCAAAGAATACTATACGGTAAGCACATATCAAGCCATCATAGCGTACAGTACAGTCGGTTGCTTGGCAACTTCCAGACGAAAACTGCGGGCGAGAACTGCGGTACTCGGCGCTTTTGTTTAGTCTCAAATGAGAGTAAAAGGTTTCGTGCGCAAGAAAGAAAGTGCGGAACAATCGCTAGAACTTAGGTGTGTTGTTGTACGGTTAGCTTTGTTGGTTATTTCGCGATCTGTTTTACGTAATAAGGGAAGATCATTTTGGTTTGCATTGCCATCGCTTTCGCGTGCACCTGTTTATATATGTAGCACGCAAGTTTACACTTGTCAAGGTCGCTTTGAGAAATTCTTTATGGAATATCTGATTTCGTGCCTGCGGCCGTGGAGTAGATGATAACTTGAAATATGAGAAATGTTTGTTCGTGAGTGAGAAATGGTGTTGACAGGCCGTCGCGACCCTTGTGGCGATGTCATTCAGAGACCTTGCCCGTCTGCATGAATATCTGCACGTCCTCTGCGGATCATAATTGGCAGTCATTTTCACGGTGTTATATATTGCTGCTTTGGGTTCATTATTACAGGTATTTAAAGGGCATCTTTTGAGGCCGAAATTGGTTCGTCCCGTGCAAAGTTATTTACATGTAAAAAGAAAAGCCAAGATGGATGCTAAGTGCTCGTCCCGGGGGGGGGGGG